CAGTCGATGTCGCGAACTGCGCGACAAGCTTCTTCGATGTGGAGGATCAATCTCTGAGGACGCCTTCGTGACGGTCATCATCGGCGGCCTTGGTCCTCAGTGGCGCGCAACAAAGGCCATACTCCGAGCCCACGGACGAATCTCTGAGGCAGCACTCTGCGCCGAAATCCACGCCGAACAGCAGGACATGGATCTGCAAGAAGAACGACACAGGAAGAAGACGACAACGTCAGAGTTCGCATTTCACACCCAACGACAACACAACAACTACAGCAACAGACAACAACGACCGAAGCCAGTACCTCCCTTCTGTCACATCTGCAAGACTTCAGGGCACCCGCGCACGCACTGCCCGAATCGTCAACAGTCAACGACCCCGCAACGACACCTTCGACCTTCAAGCAGTCAAATTGCGTCAACGCAAGCGAATCCAACGACCCAGATCCAAGCTTCAACGACCTCAACGGGACAACCTGCGCAAGGAGCAAGAAACATCGTTAGCTGCATGGCAAGACTGAGTGACTCTTGCGTCATGGATTCACCACCTCATTACTCACCGGAAGAACAACTCGACAACACCACACCTCGTCGCGAAGCACTTCAACCAAATCCGACATACGCTGCCATCGCCCAAAACGAGCCATCCGGAAAAGACACGTGGTTCTTGGACAGTTGCTGCGGACAACACATGTGTTCTTCGGGACGCTTCGTACAGAGAGAGTATCAGCTTCAACGAGAGGTCGTCATCACCGTCGCCAATAATCAAAGCCTGCGCACACGACGACAAGGAATTGTACAACTTCAGTCACGGGAGACAAACGTCATTCTGCAAATGTCCAAGGTTTTAATTGCAGAAGGCCTCGGATACAACCTTCTCAGTGTGAGTCAGTTGATGGCGAAAGGCATCCACCTCGAAGCAGACAGCACTACCCAAGAATTCAAGTTGTACCACGGGAGAGGAGGTCTTTACATCGGGAAGGCAGTCCTTAAAAACAATGTCTTCGTCTTGGACTTCGTTCCTGATCTCGGCACCGCTGACAGTGACGCCATAGTCAACTTTACCAACTGGACACACCCTCCGGATCTTGACCCCGACTTCAGTCCAGGCGGCTTCTGGTACTCACACACCGTCCCTGAGACAGAACGAACAAGGGCATTAGCGACAATTCAACAATCAGCAGCAGCAGCAGAGACAACGTCGGCAGCAGTAGAAACATCATCGGCAGCAACAGCGACAACGACGACACCAGTCGCCGGTCCTTCAACGACGGCGTTCCTCAACGACGATGCACCACCAACACCTGCACAACAGCTCCAGCCAGCACCACGAGAATTTCATCACAGTCCCAGCTTCACCGCTGGTCTCTTCTCCAACTCCGACATGTATCGGCGCTCACCCGGTCATCGCGCCAACGAAGAAATCTGGCACGCAAGAATGGGACACCCAAGCAACACTGTGTTAAACAACACGATTCGAGCAGGAGTACTCGACAAGGACTCTTTACTTTTAACAGACGGACGAGAACTTCAACGAGCACGAGGGACATGCTTCACCTGTCCTGAAGCCGACTTACCGCATCAACCCTTCGTCTCGCATCACAATCCAAGCGCACCCGCATATGCACCACTCGAGAAAGTGTACAGCGACATCCTGTACAACCGCGAACCCGGACAAAACGCGTATAACTACACCATCACCTTCATCGACGCCGCTACACGTTACGTCTGGCACCTAAACTTACCAAGTCGCGACATGGCTTTCGAAGCTTTCATGGCATGGCTTCCAGCAGCAGAACGGGAATCGGGAGCTAAACTCAAAAGTTTTCAATCAGACGGAGGAGGAGAATACTCGTCACAACGATTCAAGCAGTACCTGGCGGAGAAGGGAATCAAGAGACTCATCTCCCTTCCCTACGCCCATCAACAGCAGGGTGTAGCAGAAAGGATGAACAGGACCCTGCAGAACACCATGCGCAAACTGTTACGTGGCATGCGGCTACCCAACCACCAGTGGCCCGAAGCAATGGACCACGCCGTGATGCTGCACAATTTGCTTTCTTCGTCGTCACTCCCGAACAACACATCACCGCATCTGCTGTGGACAGGGAAACTGGGCAGCACAAAAATGTTACGAGTCTTCGGCTGCATGGTACAGTACCGACCCCCATCTGCACGAGCCGGCCGATTCTCCCAACGCGCACAGTGGGGACTACACCTGGGCATCGAAAAACATTACAACGCATGGAAGATCTTCGATATCAACAGCAAGGAAACAGTAGCAGCACGTGATGTGATCTTCTACGAGCGGCTCACACTGCCAACATACCTTGCCAACCTGGACGAAAATCGAGACCCCACAGGTGGCTTCCGTGGCGATCGAGCCTTCGCTTCGGCAGAAGACGAAGCTGACTGGGACGAGCAGAACGTGGAAGGAGCCTCGGAAGAAGCCGGACCTCTTCCCTACTGCTCAGTGGACGTACCGATGGACAAAGATAACCCTCGCGAAAGCGTCAACGCCGAAACCTACTACCACTTCGCCGACAACGGTTACGTTACACCTGCTGAAGTCAACACCAACGAAGCAGAACGCATAGGGCCCAACTTCGCACCTGATCCAGAAGCTGGAGACGAGGCAGTCTATCCCGAGGACACCACACTTCCCCGCTACACACAGAGCGGACTCCAAATCCTTGGGCTCGTCACCGCGGTCCACGGCGCTGACATTCCTAAGGAGCCTGCAACGGTTCAGCAGGCTCTGGGGGGGGAGCATAAAGAAAAATGGCGCGAAGCCATGGACAAGGAACTGAAGGCATTAGAGGAGCGCAACACCTGGAAAGTCGTTCCCATCGGCGTAGCGCGAAACAAGACCATTCTTACCGGGAAATGGGTCTTCCGTGTGAAGACCAAGGCCGACGGCACCGTCGACAAGTTCAAAGCACGTTGGGTCGTTCGCGGCTTCGACCAGGAACATGGACGAGACTTCACCGAAACCTTCGCTCCGGTCAGCCGCCACACTTCACTTCGAATTCTTCTCGCCATCGCCGCTATGAAGAAGAAGAAACTGCGCCAAATCGACGTCGCGAACGCATTTCTCTACGCACCGGTCGATGCAGAGATTTTCGTGGAACTACCGCACGGCTCTAATACAAATTCCACGCACGTCTGCCAGCTACTAAAATCGCTCTACGGGATCAAACAGGCGCCGCGACTGTGGCAACAGTACCTGCATGCTCGCCTCATCCGCATCGGCTTCAAACAACTCCCGCACGATCAGGGCATGTACCGCCTCACGAAGAGCACTGACTACATTCTTCTAATCGTCTATGTGGACGATCTCCTCTACATCGGTTCTACCGACGGCATCACCACCTGGTTCGAAGGGGAGCTGCAGAAGGACCTCACCCTCACTGTCTTATCTACCGTCACACAGTACCTCGGACTTAACATTCGAGAAGATAACAACGCGATCTACCTCAGCGCCGAGAAGTACGCCGACACCATCGCCAAACGATTCAGTATTACGCCAGCCGCGATCTCAACACCATACCGCTACACGACAGGAACCGACAAGGAATCTGTTGTACTTAAGCCCGCCGGCATACGCGACTATCAGAGGAAGCTAGGTTGCCTTCTCTTCGCAGCCGTCACCTGCCGACCCGACCTATCCTACTCCGCAAGCCAGCTCGCCACTTATCTCAAGAAGCCTGAAGCAGAACACCTGGCGGAACTTGACCGCGCTCTTCACTACTTCATCAGCACCGCGACGATCGGCCTAACTTATCATAAGAACGCAGCTACACCGACCAAGTTAATCGGCTACGTCGATGCCGATCACGCCGGCGACTCCGACAACAGGCGCTCACGCACCGGCTACGTCTACCGCCTCGAGCCTATCGGTCCTATCTCCTGGCAGTCAAGCAAGCAGGAGTTAATCGCGCTATCTTCAGCTGAAGCAGAATATATCGCACTCTGCTCAGCCACCAAAGAAGGACTCTATCTTCGCGAGCTGCTGGAAGAAGCGAAGTTAGCTGAGTTACCCAACTTTAACGTGTTCTGCGACAACCAGTCAGCAATTCGCATCGCCAACAAGAACGGCTTCGCGAACAGGACGAAACATATTGCCCTACGTTACTTCTTCGTGAAGGACGAGATCGAGAAGGGGAGACTCGAGCTGTCATACTGCCCCACATCCGAGATGGCAGCTGACTACTTGACCAAGAAACTCGGAAAGCAAAAGTTCGAGTATTGCATGCTGCTGACTGGACAAAGCCACGTCACCAGCAGCGACACTCCAGAAGCGAAGGGGAGTGTTGGAAACAATAAAACTTAAGCGCTTCAGTCGTGTCGAAAACACCGAAGCGAGGCAAACTACACCGAAGCACCCGCGAGTCAACCCTCGGGGGTTGAAGAGGTTGCTGGAGGTTACGCGAAAGTCAAAGGTCAGCGATCTTTGACCCGACAAGTACAGCGCGACAGTTAAGGACATACAACTGACTCGCTACAGAGCAGTTGCCCGAGTCGTACTGTATCGAACCGCAACAGCAACAGCAAAAGCAGTTATAACTGTATCCCTTGATATTTCCTACATTATTATATATTCTTGTACTCTCTTGTTATAATTAATCTACTTTGCCCTCACATACTAGCGCAAGGTGGTTCACAATTTCTTCACTGAAAGCTTCCGCTATTACAATTGTCCTATCCAGAGTTCTCCCCTGAAAAGATCCTAAGGGGCTATCTCAGCCCAACACCGTGTACTCACTATTGAGTACCCCACTACAGACTAGACAAGCATTATATTCTGACACCACGATATGCAGTGACCAGCATTTCTAACTTGGGGATACATTCACTCCAACTTCCGTGGCTATAAATGGAATAAGAACGTGCTTCAGTCAGGGTAATGCGGCGTTCTGTAACAACGTACCACATTGAAATGATTAATACAGTAAAGCAGATACATGCAAAGGTGCTGTGCATGCTCCGGGTAGGCTCTACTTTTATTGACCTGCCCTTTCTCGGAACAGTATGGCTTGGCCACCGAGCCTCTCAGGCTTGGTTTGGCACAGGCAGTCCGGGAGAGGGTTGGCATAAAAGGCCTCTTCCGACCTGTGCCGGTCCTTCTTCTTCACCCCTGGTAGTGGGCCCTTCCTGTGCCGTGGTGCCCCCTGCCTGCAACCAACAGCACAACGCATGAACAAAGCAGTGGTGAGGCGCCTTGAAAAGAGTTTCTTTTGGCTTGGAGGAGGGTGTGCATGTGCATCAGACCTCCCTGCTTGCAATGATGCAGAAAACAGGGCAAGAGCCTGTTGTGCTGACTGATGCTGTGAGGGCTGGCATCGTGGAAAGTGGCGATGGCCGGGGAGCATACAGCATGGGTTGTTCGAGTAGGTGCACGTGCAGCAGAGGCCTCGCTTGCATCCTGGTCAGCCCCGATGCCTGTGGAGCATACACCGTGGGTAGCCTAAATGGCTGCATGTGCAGCAATTTCACCCGTGCATGTGCTGCAATCTTACCCTGTGCATGTGCCAGCATGGCAACATCATAATTATCTCCACCATCTCACCTGTGCATGTGCCACCATCACCAACACCCCACCTGTGCATGTGCAGCAATCACACCGGTGCATGTGCCACCATCACCACCATCGCACCTGTGCATGTGCCACCATCACCACCATCGCACCTGTGCATGTGCAGCAGGCACACGAGCTCTGAGAATGCAGGTCCCTCTTGCAGCTCTCCCCTGTCCAGCCGGTCGATCAGCTGCACCAAGCCCTTCCTGTAGCCACAGCAACAGCATGCATGCACCAAAGGAACAACATGTGAAAACTCATATCAGCTGCATCAGGCCCCTCCTGCAGTTCCCCCCTATGCAGCCGGTCGATCAGCTGCACCAAGTCCTTCCGGTAGCCACAGCAACAACGATCAAGAAAGCAACAAGTGAGGACTGAGACAGCAATACAGCAGCAGCACGTACGTGAGCAGCAGATGGCCAGCAGTACAGCAGTCCTGTCGTGGCACACCTGTGTAGCAGTCCTGTCGTGGCACACCTGTATAGCAGTCCTGTCGTGGCACACCTGTATAGCAGTCCTGTCGTGGCACACCTGTATAGCAGTCCTGTCGTGGCACACCTGTACAGCAGTCCTGTCGTGGCACACCTGTATAGCAGTCCTGTCGTGGCACACCTGTATAGCAGTCCTGTCGTGGCACACCTGTACAGCAGTCCTGTCGTGGCACACCTGTATAGCAGTCCTGTCGTGGCACACCTGTATAGCAGTCCTGTCGTGGCACACCTGTCAGGGGAGATGTTGCTTGCGCTTATGCCCCAGGAACAGCCGGTGCCCCTCGACAGCACGGGCCATGTTGCCCAAGTGGGTGGCGAGGCACAACCATGTACGCACAAACACGACACGAGCAAGCAGCCACCTGTCTGCGGAGCTTGCTACGTCGAAAAGACACACACATACACACCTGTCAGGGGAGATTTTTCTATTGTGCCCCAGGGATCACCTGTGGCCCACGATGGCGCGGGCCATGTTGCCTGAGTAGGTGGTGAGGCGAGGAATATGTTAGCCTGCATGGATACAAAGTAGTCGACTTGACGAGACTGTGTACAGACACATACACACACACACACACCTGTCAGGGGAGATGGTGCGTTTATGCCCCAGGTACCGCCTGTGCCCTTCCACAGCGCGGGCCATGTTGCCCGAGTAGGTGGCGAGGAACACGTCAGCCTGAATGGACACGAGGTAGTCCAGTGCTGCCATGGCGTTCTGGTGCGCTGCCAGCGGCGCTAACTCTTCTGGGGTTGCTAGTGTTTCCTGTAAGGCATGGACATGGGAGTGGGGGGTGGGGAGGAACACGTCAGCGTGCACTGAACTGACACCAGATAGTCCATTGCTGCCGCTGCCATGGCATTCTGGTGTGCTGCCATGGCATTCTGGTGTGCTGCCATGGCATTCTGGTGTGGTGCCATGGCATTCTGGTGTGCGGCCAGCGGTGCCAGCTCCTCTGCTGTTGCTAGGGTCTCCTGCAGCGTGGGAGGGGTGAGGTGGGAAAGAAATGGGAGGGAGGGTTGTGCTTTGAGGAACACGTCAGTCTGAATGGACACGAGGTAGTCCAGTGCTGCCATGGCGTTCTGGTGCGCGGCCAGCGGTGCCAGCTCCTCTAGGGTTTCCTGAAGGGCACAGAAGTGGGAGTGGGAGTGGGAGTGGGAGTGGGAGTGGGAGTGGGAGTGGGAGTGGGAGTGGGATTGGGAGTGGGAGTGGGAGTGGAAGCAGGAGCGGGAGTGGGAGTGGGAGTGGGAGAGCGAGATAAGAGAGGAAAATGGGGTTATGCTCGAAGCCACCACTGGGGTTGCTAGGGTTTCCTGGAGTATGGGAGTTAAGGAGGTAAGCAGACAGGCGAGAAGCGTGGAATCGGGGGATGGGGTGACAGAGGGGAAAGGGAGGGATGGGAGCGGTGGGGCCAATGAGAGGCCATCATCCAGTGACCTAATTTTTCCTCCCAAGTGAATCAGCCTATAAAGGACAATCAACAAAAGAGGAGTGAACCAAGAGCCTCCCCTCTCACTCACCTTGCGCTCAATGAAGGGAAATCTCGCCCGTAGATCCTTCATCGTGTCCTCTCCACCGTAGATCTCCCCGGCAGCGATGTAGAGGCGCGTGTGGTTGGGGAAGCCGAGGGCAGAGAGCAGCACCCCCACCTCCCTTGGAGTCATGGGGCAGCTGCCCTGCGCTCTCTGCTCCGCCGCGTTAATGTCCTTCACCCTCCACTGCTTTGTGGCGCGCCTAGCATGGACAGGTGGAAGGTAAATGATGGGGAAACAAAAGAGGGCATGCCGTGGTCAGTGTGTTTTGAGACGTCTCAAAAGGGGCAGCTTCCTTGTGCTCGCTGCTCCGCTGCTCCGATATCCTTCACCCTCCGCTGCTTTGTAGCATGCCTGGTGATGGTGGGTGGTGGGATGGACAGGCGCAACATGGCGGCGAATGCTTGAAGCAAGAGAAAACGGGTTAATGGCCTTCACTCACCGCAACCCATCTATCTCTCTTCATCCTCCGCCTACTCTTCCGACCTCTCTCACCCTCCCCACCTCACTCCCTCCCCTATTCCCCAACCCCTTGTCCACGCACCTGGTGGCTGTGAGCTCATCCGCCTGCGCCTGGGAAAGCCCATGCGAGCACCCGCTGAACGCCAGCATGTCCTTCTCATACCGCAGATGCAGAGCCTCCTCTATCCTCTCCCCTTCCCTTTCAACACTCCCTCACCCAGTGGCAGTGGTCTTTGAGACGTCTAAAACCTATCCTCTCCACTCACCTCGTGGCAGTCAGTTCATCGGCCTGCGCCAGAGACAACCCATGCGAGCACTCACTGAGCAAGTCCTTCTCGTACCGCACTGCACTCCCTAACCTCCCCTATAATCCCCCCCACATTCCCCCAACACACCTTGTAGCTGAGAGCTTGTCGGCCTGTGCCTGAGACAGACCATGCGAGCACCCGCTGAATGCCAGCATGTCCTTCGCAAATCGCACTGCACCCCCTCCTCCATCTCTCACCTAGTCGCTGTGAGCTCGTCCGCCTGCGCCTGGGACAGCCCATGCGAGCACCCGCTGAACGCCAGCATGTCCTTCTCGTACCGCAGGTGTAGCGCCACGTACGGCCCGGCCTTCCTCACCCGCCGCACCAACTCCTGGTGGGATGCAGGGAGGAAAGGTGAGGGACGGAGTAAGCAGAGTTCCCAAGCGTCTCAGAACACCAAGCAGTAGCACTAGGGCCACCGGTGCCCCTGGGCAGTAGCACTAGGGCCACCGGTGCCCCTGGGCAGTAGCACTAGGGCCACCGGTGCCCCTGGGCAGTAGCACTAGGGCCACCGGTGCGTCCTGGCGGGGTGCAGAGAGGAGAGCACAGAGAGTCAAAGTGCACACATGCACACTGCATTGCACTGCATTGCACTTCAAAGCACTGCATTGCACTCCATTGCACTTCAAAGCACTGCATTGCACTGCATTGCACTTCAAAGCACTGCATTGCAATGCATTGCACTTCAAAGCACTGCATTGCACTGCATTGCACTTCAAAGCACTGCATTGCACTGCATTGCACTTCAAAGCACTGCATTGCACTGCATTGCACTTCAAAGCACTGCATTGCACTGCATTGCACTTCAAAGCACTGCATTGCACTGCATTGCACTTCAAAGCACTGCATTGCAATGCATTGCACTTCAAAGCACTGCATTGCACTGCATTGCACTTCAAAGCACTGCATTGCACTGCATTGCACTTCAAAGCACTGCATTGCACTGCATTGCACTTCTCTAAACACTGCTATGTGCACCTTAATGTACCTCTCATAAGGCCTATGTAGGTGGTGGGAAACGCAGAGTCTCAAAGCGCGCACTGTATCTGCTTGCACCGCACTGTACCTCTCCAAACGCCCGTCTGTGTGGAGAAAAGTGTAGAGCCTCAAAGTGCAATGCTTGCACTGCACTGTACCTTCCAAAATTCCTTGTGCACCGCACTGTACCTCTCCGAACGCCTGTATGTGCGGAGCAAAGCGCAGCGCCTCAAAGTGCACGCGGCAGCGCAGCTTCTGAATGTCTGCAGGCAACCCATTGTTGGCTAGTCGTGAATCCGTCTTCAGTGCCCGCAGCACCTGAGAGGCAGGTTGGGTGGGGTTGGGGTGTAGGTTTCAGAAAGGGAGAGGTGGCGTGTGCGGTGGGTGCAGCGCAGCTTCTGAATGTCGGCAGGCAGCCCACTGTTGGCGAGAAGTGAATCAGTCTTCAAGGCTTGTAGCACCTGACAGGCAGGTTGGGCGGAGAGAGAGGTGGAAAGAGGGGGAGGGGAGGGAAAGATCGGGTTGACAACAGCTGTTGGTCAGCAGCTTCTGAATGTCGGCAGGCAACCCATCGTTGGCGAGACGTGAATCAGTCTTGAGTGCCCGCAGCACCTGAGAGGCAGGTTGTGGCGGGCAAGAGGAGAATTGTGAGGCATGCAAAGAGCAACAAAGAGGCACGTAGCACTGAAGAACAGGATGAGGGGAGAGGGGAGAGGGAAGGGGAGGACAGTGGGGGGATGGGAGGGAAGCAGGTCTCAAGGTTTCACCCTTTGGGGGCGCTGAGAATTAGGGAAGATTTTTGAGAAGCCTAAGAAAATGAGAGCACCAAGGAGAGGGGTGTGTGAAGAAAAGGTTGTTGCGCCCTCCTCAAGCCCCCTCCTCACCTTGTATTGGCGCCAGTACCGCCCGATCTCCTTGGAATAATAGGCAAGGGGTGCCCAGCTGGTGAAGTGCACTCGCTTCACCTCTGCATGCCTCAGCTGACGATGTCTTGCTGGTTTGTCTACCAGCTTACCAAGACCAAGGTTCAGCAACTAGCCCTTTCTCACCTTGTATTGGCGCCAGTAGCGGCCGATCTCCTTGGAGTAATAAGCGAGGGGTGCCCAGCTGGTGAAGTGCACTCGCTTCACCTCTGCATGCTTCAACTCACGGGGCAGCCAACGCACCACTGGCACATCGCCTGCTAGAGAGGATATGAAGTAGTCTGTGTCAAAGACGTCGGAGAAGTTGCTGCGGATGGGGGAGAGATGGGGAGAAATGGGAGGAGAGGGGGAAGGAGAGGTGTGAAGATGATGAAGGGTGAGGCATAGCACCCGCTAGAGAAGAGATGAAGTGGTCCGTGTCAAAGACGTCAGAGAAGTTGCTGCAGGTGAGGGAAAAGAGGGTGGGAGAGCGTGAGGATGATGGGGGTGAGGAACATCACCCGCTCGGGAGGAGATGAAGTGGCCCGTGTCAAATGCGTTGGAGAAGTTGCTGCGGAAGGAGAGGGGGGGGAGGGGAGTGGGGAGGAGGTGTGCGAGGATGATGAGGATGAAACACGTCGACAGCTAGAGAGGATTTGAAGTGGTTCGTGTCTAACACGCCGGAGAAGTTGCTGCAGGCATGAGAGGGGGGGAGCGGGAAGGAGAGTGTGAGGAAGTGGGTAAGAGAGGGAAAACCACGGGTGAGAGCAGACCTGGAGTCACTGCACCACACCTGGAGTCACCGCACCACACCTGGAGTCACCGCACCACACCTGGAGTCACCTCACCACACCTGGAGTCACCGCACCACACCTGGAGTCACCTCACCACACCTGGAGTCACCGCACCACGCCTGGAGTCACCGCACCACACCTGGAGTCACCTCACCACACCTGGAGTCACCGCACCACACCTGGAGTCCTGCCAGAAGGAGCTTTTGTCGAGCTCGGGAACGACGAGAGTGGCATTGAGGATTCGTGCCACTGCCACCATGTCACAAATCTGTGTGTGACAAAAAGAAAATGGTAAAACGGACAGACAGAGATGAGAAAAAAGGCTACCATGTCACAGACCTGATTGTGATAAAAAAAAAGGGAGTGAATGGAACACAGAAGTGAGATGGAAGAGACGGGGAACAACAAGAGTCAAATGCCACAAGTCTGCAGTGAATGTGAGAGCAAAAGGAGGAAGTGACGGGGGGGCGATGAGGGGCAAGGGAGTAGGCGATGTGACGTGGCACACAAGCCAAACATATCACAGCACACATTTGGTTGAGCCCTCCATTGGCATGCACTGTCATATGTATCGGAGCCTCGTTTGATATTTCCCAAAACCGGGAACCAGAAACGTACCCCAGCGCGCATTTGGTTGAGCCCTCCATTGGCATGCACCGTCAGATAGCCTCGTGTTCTCCTCCCACTGGCTGCTCCATGCCATGCCATGCCATGCCATGGTAACACACACCATCCGTCCCATGCCATGCCATGCCATCCAAACAAGCATCACACTCTTCATATCAAAACACCCACAACTCGTCCATGCCATCCATTCAAATGATCAGCATACAAATATATACACCCCACATACAACAAATCAAGAAGTTGTTTTTTTAGCTCAAAATAGAGGGGCAAACAAGCAGATTAACTCCGTTGAAAGTGTCATAAATAACCCCCTCAAACACCCCACCCCCTCCTTCCCACCACTTCTCACCCCTCCCTAGACCACTCACTGCACCCAACCCCTTGCAAAGTCTCTTTGGCCCTCCCCTGAACCCCCACACACCTTTCTTGTAGCTGTCGCTGGGCTCCACACACGGCCCATACCCATGCGAAGGGGGGTTTTGCCACAGCCTCTTTTGAAGGTCCTCTGCCTGCCATGGCACATGGGATGGAATGGGATGGCACATCGGATGGCATGGCATGGCAAATGGCATGGCGTGGCATGGCAAATGGCATGGTGTGGCACGGCCTCAAGAGCATGATGGTTCTCAAAATACTTGGGAGGAAAACCCTCTCGATTCACAGCATTTTAAGCACGAAAACTTGTCAGTGCCCGCCCAGCCACTCACGTTTATCAACAAACACGTGCATACCAAACAAAATTCTCAGATCAGAATCACATAGAATCATAGAAGCTTCACCAAACCCACTGAGAATTTATGCTGAGCTGTGTCTATGGCGAGGACAGCTAACCAGCTCCCAGCCACATACCTGACCCACATCGTGACCCACCCATCGTCACACATCCACCTTGTAGCTCAGGCTGCTGGGCTGTGATGCTGGCACAAGGAAGTGAGCCTAAGTTGACTAACTAGCGGCCAGCTCGCAGCCACATACCCTGCCCACACCGTCTCCCACCTACCGTCTCACACCACACCATCACACACCCACCACACTGTCACCCACCCACCCTGTAGCTCGAGCTGCTGGGTTCCGATGCTGGTACAAGGAGCTGCTCTGGCTCCTCCTGCCCGCTAATACTGCTGCTTGGACGTGGGAGAGACTGGCTGGCTGAAGGTAGGAAGATCTGAGAGGGGGCTCGAATCTGTGAGCGGGGCAGTGGGGTGAAGACAGCACGCAATACGGAGACTGGCAATGGTTAGGACTTTCCAAAACGAACGGCTGGTTGAAGGTAGGAGGATCTGAGGGGGAGCTCGAGTCTGTTAGTGGGACGGTGGGGTGAAGACAGCATGGGATACGGAGACTGGCAATGTTTGGGATGTCTTTAAAAGAACGGGTGGCACCAGTTCTTGTCCACGAATCGCACGGAACCTGCAATGCGGGTCTGGTTTTGACCAGGAGGGACTCACTGGAACGAGGTCGTATTTGATCCCTTGCCGCTGCAGCATCTGCAACGGATCTGGCGGCGTCCCATTAAAGTCCATGTCCTCTCCTTCCTCCTCCATTTCCGATACTCGAACATTTTCCCGCAGTTTCGATCTCGGAGCGAGTTGCACGACCACCAGTGCTGCGACTGCTGCCCAGACGAGCAGCCATACGAGGCGAGAGCCGGTCAGCGCCGGCAGCGGTACTGATTGGCGCATCTGGAAGGAGGGGAGAAAGGGAATGTCGTGATTCGCGCCGGAACTATTGCGTGCATGAGTAGCCACATGTTGTGATAGGCTTGAGTGGTGGTAGCATTGGATGGCGCATCGAGATAAGAAGCGGGAACTAGACAAGACCTTAGGAAACGGTAAGGAGCGGACGCGAAAGTTGGTTGATATGATAGCGGACCGCTGGTGAGACGTTTCGGAAACGTCTCTAGTGCACTGGATGTTGAATTCGGCCAGTTGGCAGGTGGGCTGATAAGGTGCATCTTTAGTGGAATTGGTCTGTAGTAAATTGGGTGCTGACTTCAGCCAGTACGTCTGCGGGATCGGTATTAAGTGCACGGAATGTTGAACTGGGCCGGTTGGCCAATACGACCGGTGGTCAGTGCATTGGATGTTGAATCCTGTGAGTCTATCAAGTTCGACAACCAGGCAACAGTGCAGCGAGGAGTGACAGAATTATTACTCTTGAGGGAATCATGTACTTCCGCTGCTTCAACGCGCGAGAACGTGGCGACATGGACGACCTTAGCTCGCGATTCGAGGGAGCTTCATCTCGACGACGTGAAAGACAGGAACCATGTGAATACGAATCCGTTTGCTCGAGATGGTCCGTTCGGTAAGGCACTAGGCGACTATTTACGAACGAGAGCCCGAATGCACACAGTTCTCGTAACTTCGCAGGCAAATCTCAACGGAAGGCACGCACTTTTGTGCTATCTTCGATCAGGGATCGATGCTCTCTAGGTAGGCTATAGCATAAGTAAATCGCGGCCCACGATTCAATACAATGCAAATGATCATCTTCAGGGAGCCAAACATCGCATGAATGCCAGAACCTAAGATGGTAACTGGTTCGCAAACACCCATATTTTGTGTAACCATTTCGTCAACAAACCACAGCGCTGCGCATTGCGCTGAGGAATGTCTTTGCTAGAAGGCCAAACCTTGGGAACTGATGGCAACGACCAGTCTGACGTGAAGTGATTGCAGAGAGCGATACCTGAAGATTTGTGACACAAGCCGAACAAAGCCTGGAAGAATATATCCTATCACAACTAAACGGTACACCGCATTATGCGAACAGTGACCATTACAGTTTGACATTCATCTCCCTTCGTTCTTCTTGAAATTGCCGCCGAGCGATCCAAAAAGTCAACATCAGAACAAATACAAAATTCCCAAGAACCACCTCGATTCTGCTCACTCGTGCTGCAGCCGCTCCATGGGTCAAGGCAGTCGGGTCGGGGAAGCCTACTTGACCAGGCTTCAACTACAGTACTTTACGCTTCTTGCGGAACTCTGCGCTAGTTATATCTCACTTCTTATTATCAGTTGAAGCGTTGAAGTGCAAATGCTATTTCCTTTGAAGCTACTGCCGAATAGGTATTGGCGTAGTAGTTTTAGCCAATGATCAACGCCCCTGGTGCTCGCTGCTTGCCTTAGAAACCTTTTGCGGGATCAGCCTTTCCACCAGCTTTAGGTTCTATTCTCGCGCAGCAGCTCTATTTGTCCCCTGTCCCTAGTACTATCAAGCGTCATCTCTTCGTCGAGGTCAGCCGTAATCCTCTGCGACCACTCGATTCTGATCTCTCCCTGTTCGCGATCAAGCGGCGTCGCTGTCAACTTTGCCGCTCCCTCGAGACGATGGGTTCCCGCGCCAAATGGGATCCCTTTGTTGACGGCATTCTCGAGGTAGGGTTCTGTTTGAGCAGCGCTGTAGCGTTTTGAGAGCGTCAGCACTGTACTGCACCCCTGAACGACGTGGTCAGGAGCTTACGTTGCATGTCACTTGTACCACGCCTTCGTAGTCGACGACTCGCGAAGTATGTATTGGTGACAAGCATCAGGAGGTCAACTTGCATGTCACTTGTACGATGTCGAGTTGCCTTCGCAATGCGTGCGTGCGAGTGTTGGGGTTGGACCCTTCTAGCTCGAGTCACTAACCTGTGATCCTGTTCGTGTGCGTGCGTGCGCGGGTGTTTGCATGCATGCGTGCATGCGCGTATGTGTACATGCCTGCATGTGTGGCTGCATGCGTGCGCGTTACCTGCTTTACGCCATCACCCATGCAGATCCGGGTCCGGAACTGGCTCGAGGCAGTGCTGAAAGAGAAGCTACCGCCCGATACCGCCCTGGCTGATATCCTAGCAGACGGCATGATCTTGTGAGTCCCTTCGCGTTGTGTATGTATGCCCTCCTGATCAGGCATTTTATATAGAATTTCCTCTTATTTCCAATGAAGTACATTTCCAGTTTTCATCCTTTTATCACGTCACACTCCCCTCCCCTGGGGCCTCCGCTTGGTGCTTGCTCTACCTTGCACCACCAGGTCACGCCTGACTGACATCCTCTCGCCGTTCGCACCGAAGGGCGCTGGGATCAACCAACGGCAGCAGCAGCAGCAACAGCAGCAACAGGGGTGGGGCACGAAGATTAAGTGGGATGCGATGACATTCACTGATAACTTTCTCACGGTACCTCATTGCCTGCCTTCTCTCATTGCGTCTTGAGACGTCTCCATATCGCGTTTTAAGACTTCTAAAAAATAAATAAGATGCCATGATTCTCCCTGATAACTTCCTCAAGGTACCTTCCCTCCTCTCTGCTCTCATTGCTTGTCACAATAGCCGTGGCCATTGTTACTGCTCCGCATTCCAACCCCTCTCCCTACCCCCTCAAAAATTGGTCCAGGCACTCAACTGCCATGCCACCTATGCAGGTGTGCTTGTGCCACTCTTGGGAATTCTCAATAGTGATACAAGCTGCGCTGCCCTCAACTGCCATGCCAGCTGTGCAGGGTGTTCGGGCTGAGCGCCATCTACCTGTTGGCATGACCTCAACCAATCCCAGTGCTCAGCAGCAGCCCTCCCCCCTCCCCACCACGTTATCTGCACCCCTTGTTGCCACGGCAGATGTGCAAGGCGTTTGGGCTGAGTGCCATCGACCTGTTCACATCCACTGACGTGGTGGAGATGAAAGGCACTAAACGCGCCTGCCTCTGCCTCTCCTTCTCACTCTAGGTGCACTTGTATTCGACTCAATGTAATCCCCGCGGCTCCCTCGTGTGGCAGATGTGCAAGGCGTTTGGGCTGAGCGCCATCGACCTGTTCACATCCACGGACGTGGTGGAGAAGAAGGGCACCAAACGCGTCTGTGTCTGCATCCGCGCCCTCGCACTCAAGCTCAGAGCAGCCGGCATACTGGTGAGCCGCTCTTGTATCCCCCTTTTGTTCATAAACTCCAACCCAACCAGCATCTGAGTTGATTCAAATCAAACCCTTACCAGAACCGTCCATTTCTCTAACCCCACCCTTTTGTCAGCCCATAGGCTTTGAGCCGGCATCTGAGTCGAATATTAACCTCCTTACCCTCAACCTTCATCAGGCTGTAGACGTATGAGCTGGCATCTGAGTCGACCCAAAACTTGCCCTCAAACTTCTTCCCCCCCACCACCCCTCACCAA